CACATGTGAAAACATAGGGTGTGTTGACCCTGTTAAGAAAGCAATACCAGCATTATGTTTCATTTACAAAACCTGTACATTCAGTTTGATAATAATCCTTTGTTCTTATGTCAAAACATGAACTGTCTTGTGACCATTACAGCATTGACTCATCATACACTGATAGTTTGTTATAGCATAAATAAATGGATGTATCATGATACAAAAGTATTTCCTAAAAAAGCACTACAGTGGGAATAGATCTGATGCTAACCAAATTTTTTAAAATGGACATACATGTACATAGATCTACACTTTGTAATGACTAACACACACACACACACAACCAAATGTTAAGTTGATGTACACAATCCTTAATTGACACTAACTACTTGCAAAAATTGTATATGCCTGTTTGTGAAGACAAGGCTAATTTAAATAATTGTTTTTATTGATTTTCTTGCTTTGTTGGTACAGTGTAGTCATTCTGTGGAGGTTCAAGTGATGACAAGTCCAAAGGTGATTCATGTATAGAGGAAGCCAGCAAGAAGAAGCAATGTCCTCAACATCTTCACAGGAAACTTAAACTCTTCCTACATAAGGCTATAACATCAGGAAACACATGTCATGGAAGTTTATGTAACAGTTGATTCCCCACACATATACTAACTTTACTAAGAACACACCACCACCTCCTTGTTTCTTCCTTTACAAAACTTGTACATTCAGTTTCATAGTATTATAAATAAATGAATTAACAAATAATAATATAGAAGTTACTTACTAAAAGAGCACTGCAGTTAGGATCAAGGGCAGCTTTGCAAGGGAAAACTCCCCAGAAAAGGATCTGATACTAGCAAAGACTTACTTGTACATTGAAAATAACTGTATTAATAATAATTATTAATAATAGCAGACACACACAGAATTTTATTTTTTGTAAAATTTGATATACTTAATGATGACGTAATAAACTGCTGTTCTATTTTTGCTACTTTAAAGTTTAAATCTATGACAAAGACACACTTTAATGTTGTATTGTGGACCAAATCATGAAACTGTTGGTATTTCATATTCAGCAGGTGGAGTATATAGACTCAGGCCCAGCTGTATCATATATTGGCTCATCAGTTGATCTATTAATAATAATGATAATAATAATAATAATAATAATAATAATAACAAGAATAATTGTATTTTATATAACTGACTGTGCTTCTTGTACTGTAGCATACATGTATGTTGGACTATCCTTCATTGATAGATCATCAGCAGTACTGTATGTGTGGGTGT